CTCCACRTCTTCATTTTCCATTACTTTGTTGGCTGTCCTGTGCCTCTGCCAAGTTCTCATTAGTGCTCTSTACTRTGTCTTGTTATAGCATCTACCTTGTCTACTTTCKTCAGAACTTTTTCTGATTTATGCTCYTTGGYGATTTKTACRTGTKTAMGTACTAATCCAGCTKGYTSRWTTACATCCAGCTGGTACACTGTATGTTGCTAATACCCTATATAAAAACTTATAACAATATATGAAAAGGCTATTATTGATAATATATTGAAAGCTATTACATGGTATATTAATAAAAAAGTTATTACATTCTTATATTRATAATRTAWAAAAAGTTTATAGAAAGTTTTCARTCAYAGGCCTCATAAGCRCCTTGTCACTTTGACATAAACCATAGGGATCACCTGTGAGGGTGGTGAGGTCCTGGCAYAGGTTGYCCAGAGWAGCTGTGGCTGCCCCATCCCTGGAAGTGTCCAAGGCCAGRTTGCATTGSGCTTGAAGCAACCTGGAATAGTGGAAGCTGTCCGTGCCTATGGCAGAGGGTGAAGAATTTTAAGGTTCTTCCCAGCGAAAACCACACTCCGGGTGTAAACCCTGTGTCAGCCGTGCGCATGCGCACAGGGAGCAGGGCGCTTCCTAGCCGCGCCCGGTGTGCTGCGCTGAAATGTGTCCGGCTGCCCGTGACAGGAGCAAGGATGGCAGTGGCTGCGCTGGGCTTCGGGCGCTCTGTGGCCGCTATGACATGAATCGTGGTGCTGGCGCATGCTGCGAGGTGACCCCTCGCCGCCGCGGGTGACGCCGCGGGCCGCTTAATTTTCYTTTTAATTTAYACAGCGGGAGGTGCCGGCGGGTGCRGAACCCCTCGCTCAAGGCCGCGGGGGTGGCAAGGCCGGTTGGGCTGGCTGTCTTGTGGGGCGGGCAATGGCGGCGCTCTCTCCTGCCCCCCGGGCCGCCATGGCCGCGCTGACCCCCGCTCCTCCCGGGCCCCGCCGCTCCGCTAACGCGCGGCCTTTCCCCTTCTAGGTGCTGCTGCTGCTGCGAGACGGTGGGGCGAGCATGGGACCGGCAGAGCTGGTGCAGAAGATCAACATCAGCGCCGAGCCTCCCCGCGGGAGCGAGGGGAACGGCAGCGGCTCGGTGCTGGCCGGCGCTGACGGGGCCGCCCCSGGCAGTTGGAGACACAAGTGTGCGGCCTATGTGCTGGCGCTCCGGCCCTGGAGCTTCAGTGCCTCGCTCACCCCTGTGGCGCTGGGCAGCGCGCTGGCGTACCGGGCCGAGGGAGCGCTCGACCCGGGGCTGCTGCTGGGAAGCGCCGTGACCGTCCTGGCTGTGCACGGGGCCGGCAATTTGGTGAATACCTACTATGACTTTTCCAAAGGCATCGATCACAAGAAGAGTGATGACAGGACATTGGTGGACCAGATTTTGGAGCCGCAGGATGTAGTCCGGTTTGGAGTCTTTCTCTACACTGTGGGATGTATCTGTGCTGCTGGGCTCTATGCTGTCTCCACGCTCAAGCTGGAGCACCTGGCCCTTATTTACTTTGGAGGACTTTCCAGCTCCTTCCTTTATACCGGAGGTAATTGCTGCATCCCGTTTGTTGTGAATCTGAGTGTAGATGTGATAAAACCAGATGAATTGTGATCTATCTAGTGCACTGCCGTAAAATATTTGTGATATTTCCTGAAGTACTGGTATGTAAACTTGTATTCTTTGCAGTTGAATGCAGGGAAGAATCTACTAAGATCTACTAGAATACTAAGATCTCCATTCAGATAGTGGTGTTGAGGCATTATTATTTATGTATATTGCTATAGATGCTTATCAGAACTATTGYTGAATATTTTTGTGATGTTTATCTCATATCCTGTAGCAGTGTAACTAATGGCATATTTTGTTTCCTCTGGTGGGAATGTTACTTGTTATTCTTTAGATGGGTCTTCACTGTGAATGCTGAACAGTTTGTGATTCTTCTTAGAAAGACAAGGATATTTTAATGTCTTCCTGTGTTGGATAGATACAAACATCATTACTAGGAGAAGAAAAAACAACTTAGTTTCAAATTGTCAGACTTAGAGTTATGTGTGTTTCCCTGAAAGAGTCTTGTCAGTTTTGCATTTTGTTCTGAGCATTTTCTATATTTCTTTGGGATCMGGTTCTTTTAGCATGATCTCACTGRAAAGTACCTTATTTCTACAGATTTCTGCAGAAATAGGTACTTATGGATGGGTATTAAAATCTGGCCYTTAGTTTCTGTTACATGGTTTGTCTGAAGAAATCCAGAAACTTTTCCTTTGTTATCTTTGAAAAAAGAGATATGTTTCTTGTCCTTAGCTGTAAGTTCACTGGTTATTTTGCAGTATTGCAATGGGAAAGGGCTGAACTGTTATGTCATGCATTCTCTTCTGTCATTTGGGTTGTTTGATGATGCTTGATTTTGTTCTTGTGTCTTGTCACAGGAATTGGATTTAAATACGTTGCKCTTGGCGATGTTGTGATCCTGATCACCTTTGGGCCCCTGGCTGTCATGTTTGCCCACGCAGTGCAAGTTGGTTACCTGTCTGTGTCACCCCTGCTCTACGCTGTCCCTCTAGCCCTCAGTACTGAGGCCATCCTGCACAGCAACAACACACGGGACATGGAGTCAGACCGGCAGGCAGGAATTGTCACCTTGGCCATCCTCATTGGCCCCACCTTCTCCTATATCCTCTACACCGTGCTGCTCTTTTTGCCCTACCTGATCTTCTGTGTGCTGGCCACACGCTACACCATCAGCATGGCATTGCCACTGCTCACCATCCCAATGGCATTTTCACTGGAAAGACAGTTCCGGAGTCAGAGCTTCAACAAAATTCCTCAGCGGACAGCCAAACTCAATCTCCTGCTGGGGCTTTTCTATGTTTTTGGCATTACACTGGCACCAGCTGGTGCTCTGCCCAAACTATAACAAGAGCTGTAGCTGTAGCTCATAATTCACTATTCATGCCAATTAACAGTGGATGTAATGAGTAAATGWCCCATTATGGACAGTGAGAAGAATGGAAAGACCACCTTGCACTGTTGATAGTGAATGTGATGTCTTGTATAGCTTATACAACAGACAAAAAAGTGGTTTGTCAGTTCTTCAAAAGGGATGAACTATATAACTTTGCTTTGAGGAGCAAGGTGATGAGAGGTCAAGGAAATGTTTAAAGAACCTCATCATTCTGCCACCTAATTTTTTCACTGTCGGTTCAATGAAAGAGCCTCAAATCACACTCTCCATTCACTTCACAAGCACAATGATTGTTCTTATCATGGTGAAGGAGTCATGAGTCATGARTGGCTCCCATATGGGAATCAGAAAATACTGCCAAATGTTTAGCATCACAACAATGTAGGTGCCATTACTTCACTCTCTTGTAAGCGTAGTCTTCTGTATGTTTGATTTTTTTTGTTTTTCCTAGCCAAGTTTTGACCTTTTATTTCCAAGCCCCCTGAAATGCASTAGATACTGATTCATGAAGTATTGCTTCTTCTTGTTCCATTTAGTCTAGAGATTTCAAACATTAATTTCTGTGGGTTGTGGTGCTAAAATGGAGCACGATTAGCCCACTGCACAAACTTAGCCCAAATCAGTAARTCTGTATTCTGCTACAAAAGCAGAAGCTGTAAATGCAAACCATGCAACTGGGAAGCCCTCAATGGGTAGAAAAACAARTGGTTTCCAATTTTGTATTTACTTAGAATTTACTCTCTGAAAGGAGAGTTTTTGAGTTAAGGGGGAGCTGACAGACTGCCAGATTTCTTTGGATAGCTATGGATTAATGGATATATAGATGGAAGAACATATTCTTGATTTTAAAAAGTTTTTTTTTTTTTTTAAAATTTGTTTTTCTCTGTTTTTTTAGAAGGCCACAGTATTTCAGGAAAATGTCTTATAACAAGAAGCCAAGATCAGCAAAGAAGCAATGTATAGTGTCAGAAAAAGCAAATCTGGATTATCGCATTGGCTCTACATAAAAATTAGAACTGGAAACAGGAAGAAATCAATTTTGTTAACAACATTTTTCCTAATGCAGTCCAGAGTTTGTGTCACTGAGTCACAAATAAGTGATCTCTGAAGGAAAGTTCCCCACTTCTTTTCCCTCTGCTATACCTTACAGCATTGCTTTGTTTTCTCCTGCCAGACTTGTCCCTTGCTGTTCMTGTGGTCCTTTGGAGAATTGATTGTTTTAGCAATTACATAGCTGTGTGAAAAACATGCCAGACATAATGGGAAAAACATGTGCCTTGCAGTGCAAAGATGGATTTGATCTGAATCATTACTTAGTGGCAACTGAATTTTATTCTGTGTTRTTTAGTACCAGTACACAGGTTTTGGTGAAAAGCTTGTTTGCAAGAGCTGTGGGAAACTCAGAGGAATTGACAGCAGTGTTGAACTAGAGCTGCTGGTGCCAGGTCACAGCCTTGCTTTTGAACAGGTGGCTATGTGTGAAATACTGTATGAAGGGCTTTTATACACAAAGGATAAACTAGCAATAAACTCACATGGTGTTATCCTGCATCTGTCATGGGTAAGTTATCTCTTGTGGTGTTCATCTGAAAGAGCCAAGTGTCCCATTAGTTGGTTGTACTGACACCAGTAAAGCTGAGTGGATGCTACCAGATTACATGCATGGTGCAGCTGTTAAGAGGCTTTATACAGCTTCATGTTATCCAGTATTACACCTGAACTGAAGTTAATGGGAAGGAGTCTTTGCAGGCCTATTTAATGAACCATAGTTTCATCTTTTATTTACTAAAATGGGCAAATGATCTCTTATCTGGCTAGGCACAGGACAAGAAGAGATGGATTTCAGCAAGGGCTTTCTACAGCAAAGTATTGTTTAGATTAAAAACAAAGGATAAAATGCAAAAGTTCAGCTCAGATGGATGGAGAGAGCTATCCAGAAGGTTTTGGAAACTGTTTTCAATACAGATACACTCAACAGAGTTTCTACTGTTGCTTCTTTGTGAACCTGTAGAATGAAGAAGAGCCTGGCTCCAAGATCCATTTCATGTTCCTGCAAGCTAAAAGCTTTTGTAAGGATAACAGCTGAGCTGACAGATCTGTTAACCTTGCAATTGGGGATACGCAGATTTATTGGGTTAATCCTGCCCTTTGTAGAAGCTGTGGGCTTCATTTCATGATAGCTTGGTTTTGAATAGCTTTCAGTTTCAAAGAATGGTTAGTTATCTTTTCTCTACTTTTTACAAAAACTTGAGTACTCCAGTTAAATTCCTTAAAGTAACTTGGTTTGTATCTTTGATAGCTGTAATTGTAATGATGGGAAGATCATTGGTGTCTTAGTTTGTAACTCTTACTGTATCTTGTCTACCCTTTCCAGGGTAGGATRTCTACTTAGGACTGGAAAGGGCCAGTGCTTTTTGTTATTAAGAGGAAACAGCTCACTAGTACAAAAGTACCAGTGTGGAACAATTTCTGAGGTAGGGGGGAGTCAAAKTATTTTAACAGTAAAAATGAGATGAAAATTTGATAATTCCTTACTAGCAGATGCTGGTTGCCTCAAATTCCCTCTCTTTGAAAAACAGTTTAATTCCAGGTTCTTAAGGATATTAGTAGTAACTAACACATTCTTCACCGTGGCTTTCAGGAAGTTATTTAACTTATCTGTATCTCAAAAACCAGCTAATTTTTGCCTACCTCATAGAGATGCTGAGCTGATATCACTGTCATAGAGAGCTTTGAAAGTAAAATGTGCTTTATTTCTGTGTGCTTTCCAAAAAGCTTGTTAGTACTAGAAAACACTTTATATATGAACTAACGTAAAGGGTGACTTAACCCATGTAATTAGGCGACAATAATTTTCACATATAATAATTGAGTAGTAAGARAGGTTCATTTATTGGTTTGCTTTGTGATGAAGATGCTGGGTCTCTTCCCCTACCCCTCTTCTCTCTATCCCATGCTACTTTCCGTGAATATAAACTTCAGAAASTTCTTTCAGGTCTCTCTTGATGAGATATATTGCAGTTTGATTAGTGTGCGTTGGTACATGAACAGATCTGTAGCCCATYTGTAAACGTGTCCTAAAGCACCTCCTGGCCTTTCTTCTTACCCAATAAACTGAATGTTACTCTGTTAATTATRGTATGTTTGATTGTTTCACATTGCTCAGGTTGTATTTTTGCAGATGGATTAAAACATGGTCATGAAAGAAAGAGGATCTTTATCTGCCATATTTATAGTATAAGTACCTGAAAAATCATACTTTTTTGTGTAGAAGTCCTTTTATGAATCACATAGTCCTGTCCTTCCCTATCACAAGAGAAATAGTTCTGTAGCAGGGATAATCTCCTATGGCAGACTTAGAATAGTTCCGGTATATTCATCAGTGTGCAGAATTTTATCTGATGGAGATTTCTGTCCATGCACTGTTCTGCCTTTGTAAGGCGGTTCAGCTGAACTTCAGTATCGTATTTAATAATAAATATCTTTTCATCCTTCCCAGTGTGTTCTGCCAGCTTTCCAGTGACGTGGTCACTGCTCCACAGAACTGTGACAGCATAATRCCTCCCCCATGTGTGTCATAAATGAGCCTAAAACATGGTTTGTGATTTTCCTGTCTTGGTCAGTGGTGCACTGTGCTCCAAACTGCATTTGGAGATAATTGTAAAAAATGAAATGCAGGGTATCATGACGTCGATACATGGGGTGGATCTTCCCTAATGAGGAGGTTGCATTTCCATCTGCAGATGGCAGTGTTKCTCTTCCAATGGTTCTACAGCACCTTACAGAAACCTGTGAGCTGTGTTTGCAAGGATGTTTTTARCGTTTGGCTGTATCTCACTGTGTCTCCTCTGTTGTAAGGGAACTTGGAAGATAAATGGCTACAGAGGAATTTCTGTTGTGCAGATTATGACTGGACAGATAGTCCTGCCCTAGGCAGAMATGAGCATTTGAAGAAAGCCAGTCAGCTCTTAAAGCCTTTATTGATGGCTTAATAAGCTCTTTCTGCTCAGATGCTGAGGGCTGAGCTTTCAAAAGAGCATGGGCAAGCTGTGCGTGAGGGGCAGTAGGAAATTAAGCTCAGCCCTTGATGAAGGAGAAAGTCTTGGTTTCTGACAGTTTTTTTTGCTTTGTTTTTGCTCCACTATAACCTTAAAAAAGTCTACATAATTTTCTTCTGCAAGTTATTAGCATATTTAGAAAAAAAGTGCACACCTTTGTGGTCTGTAGTGAAGTGAAAAAAAAAGACAACAAAATGTCATCCCTGAGACAGCATGGGTATGTGAGAGGATTCAGACAAGACCCCTGGCTCTCAAAATGCCTAGGTAAGAACTTAGAAAATCATCTGGGTGCAACAAGCCTTACCCATAATAACAAATTAATGAGTTTAATTTATCTCCAGAAATTACAAGGGWTTTTCTGCAATGCTCCATGTGCTGACACAGCCACTTTAGGTACCTGGAAGGTGATATMATTTTGTCGGATTGTCAGTGATCTTTATTCCTCTCTTGACACAAGTCTTTGTCTAGTGTCTGATTCAGGAGGAGTAGTTATTTGTGCATGCTTTGTTTTCCAGAGACACATTCCTTCTCCTTATTCATTGGTAGAGTCCTTGCATGAAACATTCAGTGGCTGTTGTTAGCACTAATACTAATAAGAACACACCAGGTATGATCTGGAGTATGACCTTCATGAATTTCTGTGAGGTGATGCTTACGTATAATTGCTGATTTTAGCTCCTGATATTTTGTTTAGGTTTGGGGTTTTTTTTGATGGTAGTGGTGGTTGTTGTTGTGGTTTAGGACTAGTTTTAAGCCTTTTGTTAGTACTTGTTGACTCCCTACAGAGAAGGAAATAGTGTGTTTGACTTCCTCTGGATTTTGTTCCACATTTGTGAAGACGTTTTACAAGAGGTTGATTCCACTGTATTTACAAGCTCCTCTGTGCTGTAACTGAACACTTCACAGTCCTTGATAGATTATTTTGTGATTTAATATGGATTCTCTATAAAGAAGAGAACACTTCCCCTTTCTCCATKCTTTTCTGCTTATGGTATTGCCTTTTGCTGCCATAACCTTGAGAAAAAGCTGACAACACAGAGCAACACTACTCAGCCAAGGTGAGCTGCCAGATATGGGCTGCAGAGGTTGTGTCCAGCTCTGCTTAGACAGGAGCAGGCTCTTCCATATGAGCAACCACCAGCAATCTCTGGAAAATGGGCTTTATAATCCKTTGCATTTGTGGATGTTGTGAGCTGTTGTTTTACAGTATCTGGGAGAAAGGTGTATCCCACTCTTGTTCCAGTGGGAACACAAGACAGAGATGATCTATCAGAGCGTGACTTCCTTGTACCTGCAACATCTTTATTTTTTTCCCTGTGATGATTTACAAGTTGTTACCTTGCAGGCAATACCAAAGCCTGTGCTGGATTATGTCATAAAAGACCTAATTGGGCACCTTCTATCCCAGCACAGTAAAACTGAGATCATGRCCTTTCAGGGGTTAGGAATCCAATTATCTGGAGAAACAGTTCCCAGACTGAAATACCTTTTAACCTCCTATTGCTTAGTATTCCAAATCTGTACCACCTTTCTTTAGTGGAAATTTCCAAAGTCTCCTAATAAAATGGATTGGAATTACTGTTAAACAGCTTCCATAAAGGTTATTATTACCTAGTGATAATTCCATCTTGGAGCCTGTTTTGACTACTTTTTGGATAGAGATGAGCCAAAGAGAAATAATGGTTTTAAAAGATTACACCTATTTACACGCTCTCTAGGCTGAAGCAGAGAGCTTGTGGAACTAACTGCATTTCAGAAGCCTCAATTTGCTTCTTCCAGGAAGCAAACAYGCTATGAACTGTTTTATTTATGTTTTTTAAGCAACACAGAAGTGTGCTTTTCTTTGGTTTGTAAGACAGAAAATATTAATACAACAGGCAGTGTACAATCAGTTGTTCCTTTATCTGGCACTGCTGGTTCTCTGTAGAATACTGGTACACAATGGGAAGTTTACCACCAAAGGAGTTGGGAAYATACAATTTGTTTTTGTCTGGGGTTTGGGTCCAGAGGTTGCTGTGACTGTTGTTTTTTATTAATTTAATATATGTTGAAGTCTACAAATATATGCTGGGACCCAGGTGGGACAGATGAGATGTGACTAAGTTCTTGGATGATTGATAATGAGCAGGGACTGGAAAATCAATTGTGTTAATTCCTGGTTTGTCACTGGGATGGAGAATTAATGAGAAAATCCCTCTAACTTAATGGTATTTGCACATTATACAGACTGTGATAAAACGGTCTTCAGGCGCTGCTTGGCATCACAATTATGGGATTATTGTAGATCTAGAGGTAGGAACAGAAATCCACAAGCACRAAAACTCCTTTCACAAACAGCCACCACACAAAAACACAGACCAGCTAGGAGACCTGAAGAGAAAACAAAGAGGYATCATCTTTTACTGCTTGTACTCTGCATTTACAAACATGTTGTAGGAGCTGTGGCATTGGGGTGTGATGATTCATATTGTGAGTGGTGTGCTACTGATAAACACTGTGTCCTGTGGGAATCCTTCCCTCCAGGGGTCTTAGAGCACTCTGTAGGCAGCAGGGAGGCTGCTTGACTTAGAGTGCAGTGCTTTCTAGAAAGCTGTTGAAAACATTTGAAAGATTTTAGTCCCCATCTTCCTCTGAGCTCAGGAATGGCTGGCAATTAGGCACACTGAGCATGAAGTTTGTGCCAGACCAGCAACAGAATTATGGCACAGAGGTGAACCAGCAGTGCCAGCTTCCCTGCCCTGACCTGCCAAAGAAGCCAGGTAGGGAAGGAGCAGATGGCCCATGGAACTCTGGAGCAATTTGTGATGCTGTCAGTAACTCCTTTGCAGAACTGACCACACATGTACCTAGTTGGAATTGCTGGTCTTGATCATGACTGACAGAAAAGTGGAGTCATCTCTGCAGCTGCCTCCTGTCTGCCAGGAGTTTGTCCAGCTGAGACAGYAGCAGTGTAATTGATGGTGCATTACTGAATAAATTATCCATAAACCTTGCGTACTCAGAACGCCTGCATCCCTCTTGCTTTTCTTGTCAGCCTCCCTGTCCTTGCTGTTGTACTTCATATGCCCTCCCATTCTCCAATCTACACTGAAGTATGCTGAGTGCTTAAAATCCCAGAAGCTCCCAGGGCTGTCAAAAGGGGAATAAAAGGAGATGCTGTATAGAGAGTGACACAAAATTTGTTTAGTGTTTTCTCTTTAAAGATTTAGTGCAGGTTCTTTTCCTTCCATCTCAACATATCAAGATTTTAGTTGTGAGGGAAAGTTTTAGAAGAGAATGATTAAAAGTTTCCCTTTCTGGCAGGTGGCAACTACAAGGATTAAAGTCAGAGGAGTAGGCCAGAYCTCAAATGTCCCCAGAGCTGAACTCTGCAGGTTTTTGGGCTGCCTGGACTGCTTCTATATAGCTGCCTCTGTAGCCTAGAGGTCCCAATTTGCAAATCTAATTTTTTTTAGGAGAGATCCTAGAGGACAGATCCTTGTTATCTCCTCTGGGTTGTATTATCCTCAGGTTTTCTACAAGAATCTCTAAACTTTCTATGTATTAGACAGAACCTATTGCTACCAAGAGATGTAAGGAGCATCTTTCTGCTACAGCCTATTTGGTAAGAAAGGTCCCAGATTTTTCAGTTTCCAGACTGCTCTAGAAAAGATTCCCAGGTTGTTTTCTCTCTTTGCAGGTTTTGAAATTATAGCTGGGTTGGATGCACTGTGAGACTTTTGTGATAGTGGTTGTTTCAGAGATCACATGCTGGTGGGCAATGAGCAGGGAACAGGCTTTCCAAAGTTGTGCAGTACATAATCTGCTATGAGAGTGGGACATGCCTTTTTGAGTTRCAAATTTATTTAAATCTTCATCTTTGTCAAGATGAAGATTGTAATATATTTTTTTTTCACAGGTACTCAGTAAAATCCTACACTCAGGAAGAGACAACCTTTGCTACGACAATGTTTAAATGCTGGAAAGGAATTATCATAGTGGTGAGAGAAAAAGCAGCTGAGAGCTCCCAAATTTGATTTCTACCTCATACATAGCTGAGGCAGAAATTTCTTCTTTCTGAGTATGTTGCATWCCTGGGAGGAATCAATAACACTGTAAAACAGTATTTCTAGGGTGTGATTATGTTATGCCTGGCAAGAGATGTAAGATTAATTTCTTCCAGCTCTCAAAGCATCCAGTAGAATCTCTCTTAAGTGCCAGTATAAATACACCTGTAATACATGACTTGACTGATTCTGATTCTCTCCAGAATAAGAGCTTGCCTGCGGTCTGTCAGCTTCCCTACACCTTCCCCCAGAGCCAGCAGGGAAATTCATGAGTAGTGAGCTGAAGCAGCACACACTGAATTGCTGGTGTTGCAGATATAAGGAGCAGGAATTGAAACTACTTGATGGCCTTTTAGTTTTTTTCTATTGATGTAAGATGGCCTGGAAGTAAAGGRGAGCAATTAGGGATCATTCTTTGCYGAAATACACTGAGAAATCTCTAAGCCTGAAGGTGTTTCCTGTTGTACTGTTCCTATTGCCTGGAATTCCTCACAAAGGAAGCAGCTGGCTAGAGTTGCTTTGAACATATGGCCATGATGATTTG